TTATAGGATGTGGGGATTGTTGGCAGGACATGGTTCATCCTGAAATGTCCCTGATCCGAGCGGATTGCCAGGCCATTTTAGAGGCCGTTGAAGAGTAAGCCACGTTGCTGTTGATCTGGAGTCACTTGTTGTCCAGACCAGGTAAGGACAGCAGATTTCCTTCCTTGAAGGTTATTACAGAACCTGATGGGTTTTTACAACAAGAAACAACAGTTATTACCATGCCCATGACCATCTGTAAAATCTAGATTTGGTAACAGAATAGAAACTTCACCATTAGGCACGTGCTACAGGAACAGACTGTGTCCAGACCACCCACTGCATCTCTGTTTCACTTGTTCGGTGAAATTCCCAATTTGTCAGCATCTCCAGAGCTAAAGTGGATCAATTAATATCAGCTACATATCAGGCAGAATCTATTTGAAAAGTTGAAAGGGCTTGCGACCTTCTGCTTTTACGATCTTTTCTCTTATGTTCATGAACCAGCCTCATTTATGAAGGTATGACCTGAACAATGCAATGCTGGGCTGCTGGTTTATCCAAGAGATTGTACCCAGCCTGCAGAGAGATCCTGAGAAAGAAATTATAAAGACCGAAATAAATGAAAGAACTGCGGGCGCTGGAAATCTGAAACAAAAACTGAAATTGCTGGTGAAGGGTCACAGGACTCGAAACGTTAACTCTGCTTTCTCCCCACAGATGCTGCCAGACCTGCTGAGTTTCACCAGCAATTTCAATTTCTGTTTGAGAAATAAAACAAATCTACCCTGGTTCCTGAATGTTTCCCTCATTCCTAATTGCCTCATACCATCATCACTGATCGGAACTATGAAGTACAGTGATCATATTTAATTTTCGATTCTAAAACGTGTTTCTTAAAAGAGAGCTGCTGCAGCTGAGAAAGACGGTGGTAGAGACAGAGAGACCAACAGACCATCACACCTATGGATGCTTGCAGAGCCTCAACCAACAGCCTTTCAAACTGGGAAGAGGTGAGTCCAAACAGACTGAGATGTAATTTCTTGATGGTTGTCCTGTAACCTCCCCTGACACGGCTGTCTCGTTCAACTTTAATGTGGAGGTGCCGGTGCTGGACTGGGTTGGAGAAGGTTAGAAATCCAACACGTTTGTTTGAAAATGCAGGCTTTTGGAGCCTCACTCCTTCTTCAGGTGTTGGTAAGAGAGGTAGTATCAGATGCAGGATTTATCAGTAAAAGATCAGAGCGTCACATCACTGATCACGATGTATTAAACAAGCCTGAGATGCTGTTAAATCTTCAATCAGTTAGAAGGATTTAATTGATGAACATGTATTTGTCCATCTCCGAATTCCTTACAAGTCACGGCCCTGAGAGAACCAAAGGTTTTATCAGTGGAAAGAAGAAGTGACGTTTTAGGTCAGGCAATGCATGTTAGGTGTGAGGCCTTATTTAGATTCTAATTGTGTTTTGGTTTGGAGTCAGCCTTGTTTTATTTATAAAGTAGGACTTTTTAAAATGCCACATTGATTGACTATCAATAAATTGTGTGCTTTTTGAACAGAATAGAATGTATCTGCAAATACAAATTCACCTCTCAGATTCACAGGTGTGTGTGCACGTGTGTATGTGTGCGTGTGCGTGTGTGTGTGTGAGCGAGAGGGAGAGAGTGTGTGTGTCTGTGTGTGTGTGTGAGAGAGAGAGAGTGTCTGTGTGTGTGAGTGTGTGTGTGTGTGTGTGAGAGAGAGTGTGTGTGTGTGAGAGAGAGAGTGTGTGTGTCTAAGTGAGCGCGTGTGTATGTATGTATGTGTGTGTGTGTGTGTGTGTGAGAGAGAGAGAGAGTGAGTGTGTGTGTGTCTAAGTGATTGTGTGTGTATGTATGTATGTATGTATGTGTGTGTGTGTGTGTGTGAAAGTGTGTAGTGTGGTGAGTCACCTGTAGTGTGACATGAACTCAAGATCCCAATTGAGGCCATCCTCATGGGTTCAGAACTTGGCTATCACCCTCTGTTCAGCGAATCTGCGTTTGTTGTGTATTCCGAAGTACGCCTTGGAGGACGTTTGCTGAAGATTCGAGGCCAAATGTCCTTGATCGCTGAAGTGATTAAACCAGTCTGATTCCAATTCAAAACACAAACAGAATCTAAACAAGGTCTTACACCTAACATGCATTGTCTGATCTAAAATGTCACCTCTCCTTTACAGTGATAAAACCTTTAGTTCTCTCAGGACAGTGACTTGTAAGGAATTCGGAGATTTACAAATGCATATTCATCAATTAAAACCTTCTAACTGATTGAAGATTTAACAGCATCTCAGGTTTGTTTAATACATCCTGATCAATGATGTGACCCTTTGATCTTTTACTGATAAATTCTGTGTCTGATACGACCTCTCTCTCACTAACACCTGAAGAAGGAGTGAGGCTCCAAAAGCTTGTATTTTCAAATAAACCGTTCAAATTTGTATACATTTCTGAATCTATTCCAGAATACATCCTGTTGTTTTTACCTTGTATCTTTTAGCTCTAATTTCTAATCCATGTGTCTATGTGCTGTGTTACTAATTTGCCTGTGTTTACTCACTAATTAACTTAGTTTCTGCTAATTCAAGAAAGCCTGTTTAATTTGTTCCTTGTAAGAAATTGGTTCATGCGGTTTGGGAGAAAGACATCCACAAGTGTCCAACTAACTGAGGGGCCAGGTGGAGAAAGAGGGGAACCAGCTCATCCCCCCCTCACCCAGGAACCTAACAGTTTGGGGGTTACTCGTGTGGGACAGGAATGGATTGGGGACCCTCACCCACAGTCTGTTTATAACAGACGCCATCTGATTATTGTTAACTCACTGTGACATTTGGCAATTTAAAAATCATTTTCCTTCATCCTCTTATATTGCTGACTCCCATTTGCGGAATGTTGTAATTGGAACTCAATATTTCAGCCTCAGACGATGAAGAGACTTATTGTTCTCAGTTTGCTGCTTACAGCCACGGATGCCAGTGTCTTGCAGAAATGTCAAGTTGCCAATATTTTTAACAATAATGATATCAATGGATATTTAAGGTATGAATGGGATCAGTGTGAGTTTCACTGTTTCCATATTGTGAACAAAGGCATTGCATTCAAGTTGCCCCATTGGGTCTGTGATCTCTTTCACCTCATTGCCTTTCATGATGGCATTAGTGTTAGAGAACAGGTTCCTGTGTATGAGTTAGAGAGTCAGTGCACTGTGTGATGTGGGGCTGGGCTATGCAGAGGCCCAAGCTACAGCACATTCACTGGTGTCAGCTTAGGTGAGGGGCTATCCCAGTAAACGTGAACAGTGCCCTGATGATAATACTGGACAAGTATGATCCCAGAGTGAAGCCTTATTGGAAGTTTGCCATTTATTTCAAAGGGAATGGATTATAAAAGTCAGGATGTCTTGTTTAAAACTGTACAAGGCACTGGGCAGAACACAATGGTGGAGCAAATTACTGCAGATGCTGAAACTGGTACTGAAAACAACAAATGCTGCAAAACACAGCAGGTCAGGCAGCATCCGTGGAGAGAGAGCAAGGTAACATTTGAGTCTAGATGACTCTTCATCAGAAGTGACGTGAAGTGTAAAGGGGGCAGCATTTATGCAATTGTGGAAGGTGTTGGGGGAGAAAGGATGTTGATAGGTCACATTAAGTGATTGGAATGTGAGAATGGCACAACAATGTTATGTCTGAAGGTGTTGAACTCAATATTAAGTCCAGAAGATAAGGTGGACTTAATATTGAGTTCAACACATTTAGATTGTGAACCTACTACCATTCCTTCTCTTTTGACTTTACGTGTTACATTCTCTGTCACCATGTCCACTCTCCCCTCACTCCACCCCACTGTGACCGTCTGCTCTTTCCAGTTTTGCAGTTAGACACAGCATTGTCATGCCATTCTTGCATTCCAAACAATTAATCTGAACTATCAACATCCTTTCTCCCCCAAGCACTTCAACCTTCCGCCATTGTGTAAATGCTGATCCCTCCACACTTCATGTCAGCTCTGATGGAGAGTCATAGAGATGTACAGGAGGGAAGCAGACCCTTCGGTTGAACTCATCCATGCTCCAAATTTCCTAAATTAATCTAGTCCCATTTGCCAGCATTTAGCCCGTATCCCTCTGATCTGTTTCTATTCATATACCTATTCAGATGCCTTTAAATGTTGTAATTGTACTAGCCTCCACCACTTCCTCTGGCAGTTCATTCCATACACAGATAACCCTCTGTGTGAAAACGTTGCCCTGTAGGTCCCTTTTAAATCCTACCCCTCTCGCCTTAAGACTCTGCCTTCTAGTTTTGGACTCCTCTAAACTGGGGAAAAGACCTTGTCTATTCACCCTATCCGTGCCACTCATGATTTTATAAACCTCTATGAGGTCATCTCTCAGCCTCCGACACTCCAGGGAAAATAGCCCCAGCCTATTCACCCTCTGCCTGTAACTGAAACCCTCCAACCCTGGCAACATCCTTGAAAATCTTTTCTGAAACTTCTCATGTTTAACAACATCTTTCCTGTTGCGAGGAGACCAGAATTGAACGCAGTATTCCAAAAGCGACCGAACCAATTTCCTGTACAACCACAACATGACCTCCCAACTCTGAAAATTAATGCACTGACCAATAAATATAAGAATACCAAATGCCGCCTTCACTTTCCTATCTACCTGCGACTCCACTTTCAAGGAACTATGAACCTATAATCCAAGGTGTGTTTGTTCCTCAATATTCCCAAGGACCTTACCATTAAGTGTATATGTCCTACCCTAATTTGCCTTTCCAAATTGCAGCAGCTCACATTTAGCTAGATTAAACTCCATCTGCCACACCTTGGCCAATCAGCCTACTTGATCAAGTTCCCGCTGTTCTCTGGGGTAACCTTCTTCGCTGTCCACGACAACCACCAATTCTTGTGTCATCTGCAAACTTCTTAAACATACCTCCGATATTCACATTCAAATCATTTCTTTAAGTGAGAAAAAGCAGTGAACCCAGCACCGATCCCTGCAGCACACTACTCATCACAGGCCTCTAGGCAATAACTTCCCTAGCTTCCCACTGAGTTCTAGGGTACACCTGGGGTGGCACGGTGGCTCAGTGATCAGCATTGCTGCCTCTCAGTGCCAGGGACCCAGGTCCAATTCCACCCGCGGGCGACTGTCTGTGTGGAGTTTGCACATTCTCCCCATATCTGCTTGTGTTCCCTCCAAGTGCTCCGGTTTCCTCCCACAGTCCAAAGATGTGCAGGTTAGGTGGATTGGCTGTGCTAAATTGCCTATAGTATCCAGGCATGTGTAGGTTAGGTGGGTTAGCCATGAGAAGTGCAGGGTTACAGGGATAGGGTAAGTGGTGAGTCTGGGTGGTAAGCTCTTTAGAGAGTGGATGTGGACTTCTTCAGCCAAATGGCTTGTTTCCACACTGTAAGGATTCTGGATATCTGATCATGTCCCAGGGATTTATCCATGTTTACGCTGTCCAGCACCCTATCACAGTTTATTTCTCCAAGTTCTCTCACTTCTATATCCTTCTCCACAGAAAAAACACTGATGCAACACTTGTTCAGTATCTCATCCATCTCCTGCAGTTCCACACATAGGCAGCCCGTGCTGATTTTTAAGGCGCCTTATTTTCTCCCTAGTTACTCTTTTATCCTTCATGTATTGTTATAAAATGGAGGTCCATCCCCTCTGAGAACCAAAACTGAAACACCAAAAGAGGAACATCTTGCCCTATAATTTGTCAAAAGGAATGTGAAAAGGGGTGTAACCTGTCTTTCAGCAACTTCTCGTGGATAAATCAAATAAATCCTTGACACTCACTTTACAATCAACAAGTAATAATTTATTCATCTCACTCTAACAGTGAACAAATTAATTAAACTATTAAAAAACCAAACAAATCCCTTATAACTACCAAATATTCCTGAATAACGCAACATTGTAATGGTATGCCGTTCCAATAAATACAAGCCCTACTTATATAACAGAACAACACAACTTAGTCTGTTAAAGTTATAACCAGGTTATGTCTTCTCCATTGGTTCTTCTGTCAGGAATACTTTCTCTGAGAATTCTTCTGTCAGAAATCTTAGCTAGAGTACTGTAGTACTGTTGTGAATTGGTGGTGCTTTGTCTAAGAGCTGAGAGCTGTTATCTCCAGCAGATGGCAGTTAGCTCTGTAGATTTTCCAACTGCCCCCTTCTTTGATACCCCTGATGACGTATCAATTTCTTGCAATCGGATTGATCCTCGGTTGTCAAAACCATCAGATTCTATTTTAATAGATTGTTTTGGTACCTAAGTGCCTGGTTCAAATTGATTGGCCAAATCTAAAAACCTGTTGTCTTGGTAAGAATGCTGCTTGGCCTGCTAATGGTATGGCCTTTTGGTACAAGTGTTTCAATTTGGGCGCTCTCGGTACTGGCAAATTTCCGAGCTGCTCACAGACAGCTCCAAACATAAACTACATCCCAGAGTACTTAATGAAGTGGCTCTAGAAATAGTGGATGCATTGGTGGTCATCTTCCAGGATTCTGGAGACTCAGGAACAAAAACAGACGTTGCTGGAAAAGCTCAGCAGGTCTGGCAGCATCTGTGAAGGAAAAAACAGAGTTAACGTTTCGGGTCCGGTGACCCTTCCTCA